GCCCTGGGCATCAGACATGTTTTCTTCTCAGCTATGGTTTCTTTCTCATATCTCTTGAAAAGTCAATACTACAAGGAATTGGCATTTATTCCTCACTCGACTACAAAGTTGGCAACAAATCACTATTTGTCAAATGTAGATTTGAAACAGCTGCACTTAACATTTCTGTACCTCAATATGACATCGTTTTCATGACTGCACTAGATGTTCAGAAATATAAAGTGTATACTGCAGAGGTAAAATGGCACCTTTGAGACTTACCAATTAAAAGTAAGGTTTTTTTTTTTTTTTTTGAGACAGTCTGGCTCTGTTGCCCAGGCTGGAGTGCAGTGGTGTGATCTTGGCTCACAGAAACTTCTGTCTCCTGGGTTTAGGCGATTCTCCTGCCTCAGTCTCCCGAGTAGCTTGGATTACAACAGGCACCTGCCATCACAGCCGGCCAATTTTTGTATTTTTAGTAGAGACGGGGTTTCATCATGTTGGCCAGCTGGTCTTGAACTCCTGACCTCAAGTGATCTGCACGCCTTGGCCTCCCAAAGTGCTGGGATTACAGGCATGAGCCACGGTGCCCGACCTTGTTCTGTTTTTAAGAGACAGGGTCTTGCTCTGTCACTCAAGCCGGTATGCACTGGTGTGATCAGGGCTCACTGCAGCCTCGGCCTCCTGTGCTCAAGTGGTCCTCCCACTTCAGCCTGAGTAGCTGGGACTACAGGTGTGCACCACTGCACCCAGGTAATTATTTTATTTTTCGTTGCCCAGGCTGCTCTCAAACACCTAGGCTCAAGCAATCTTCCCACCCTGGCCTCCCAAAGGGCTGGGATTACAAGCATGTGTCACTGAGCCCATCAAGAAGTTTGTTTTTAAATTAAATGGAAATAAGTATCTGAAAGCATGTACTTTTATACATTCAAGTGAATAAAGGCTGTTATCTTCTATTTTTTTCCCTAGAATTAAAGAGCTATTTATTATTTCACATCCCTTAAGTTGGAGTACTTGGATTATGAGCATGAAAACAGATAATGTGTATTTTAATTTTAATGTATAAATTGTTATTATAATGAGAATCCCACCACAGTGAAACAGAATATCAAGACTCTATTATATAAGATAATAGGACATTTTGCTTGTGTCAACATATATTCATAGGGACGGAGGTAGAGATATTCTAGGCAGAAAAAGGTGGGTCCCCAATAAAACCCCACCTTGAAGTGGAAAAGCCTGAAATCTGCGGCCCAAAGTGAGAACTGCTGTTTTTCCACTCGAACACTGCCTTTCACTAAACTATCCATGGCCTACCCAGCCCCCATCCTCAGCCAGCAGAGAGACGCAGCTGGATGTGGGGGACTATGTCTGGACACTGGAGAGAAGTGGCTTGACTTCAGAGGGACAGCTTGACGGCGTAACTTTGGAAAAGAACCTGGTCGGAGATGGCTGGACTTCAGGGGAAGCTTACTCACCTGCCCCATCCCTTTTTCAGATCCCCATTCCACTAAGAGCCACTTTCATTGGCAATAAAATCCCCTGCATTTACCATCCTTCAATTCGTTCACGCGACCTCATTTTTCCTGGACGCTGGACAAGAGTTTGGGAGCCACAAGTGTGGATGCAAAAGGCGGTCACACTGCCCTGGTGGAGGACAGCTGCCTCATGTGAAAAGGCAGAGGGCCCACTGATCTGTTAACACTTAAGCTGTCTACAGATGGAAGAACGCAATGAACACTTTAACACGCCCTCTGGGGCTTTCCGGGTCACAAGCACCCCCACCTAGATGCTGCTGCGGGGCCTGCACAGAGTTTGCTCCTGCTGGTGCCTAAAAGTGCTCACTTTGGCTCCTGTACCCACACACCTGTGCATTCCCTCCACGAGGGGAGGAATGCAGTGGGTCTGAGTGAGTGGAGTTTGATCCCACCAGCTCTGAAGCAGCCAGTCAGCTCCAGCGCTCATGCACTCCAGTTCCCACCGCATTCGCTCGTGTGCTCCCTCCTGCGAGGAGTTGAGAGCAGTGGGCTGAGTAGGCACCCCTGTCGTGAGTCCCGCAAAGGGATGAGGGAAATATGCTACTTCAGTATTAAGGAAGCTGATTTTCATGCTATTGGTACTTGAGGCACTAACATTAAGACATTATCATTCTGTTTTTCCACTTTAAAGTTATTGGAATTTTATATGAATATATGTGTTAATGAAAATGTATATGAACATGTATATGTTAATGAACATGTATATTCATGTTCATTAACATGTAACTGCATATACACAGCAAACTGAAGATTTGATAAAATAGAGAAAGAAAAAGAATACTTATCTGAGGAATGCAAGTCCCTTTAAATTATCAGGCCCAGAAAGGGGCAGTTATTCCCTCTTGAGCTAAATAGTTACCGCTTGAAGCCACTTGCTATGCAAGCTCTAGACTGAGGCCAAGTAGCCAAAAAATGCTTTACACCCTATAGTTCAACAATGTATACGCAATCACTAATGCCATTTCTGTAAGCCAATGAGAATTCCTGAAGAACAACTTTTGTAATTGTCCCTGCCCCCCATTTGTCTTTTTTCTTTAAAACTTGAGCCTCTCTTGTTCTCTGGAGTACTTGCCAAGGCAAACTGGAAATGTGTCCTGGACTGCAGTCCTCAACTTCTGTTCTTAAATAAACTCTCTCTTTTTTTTTAATAGACGGAGTCCTGCTCTGTCACCCAGGCTGGAGTGCAGTGGCATGATCTTGGTTCACTGCAACCTCCGCCTCCTGGGTTCAAGTAATTTTCATGGCTCAGCCTCCAGAGTAGCCAGGACCACAGGCACATGCCACCATGTCCAGCTAATTTTTATGTATTTTTATTAATAACAGAGATGGGCTTTTACCATGTTAGTCAGGCTGGTCTCGAACTCCTGACCTCAAGTGATCTGCCTGCCTTGGCCTCCCAAAGTGCTGGCATTATAGGTGTGAGCCACCGTGCCTGGCCAAATAAATTCTCTTTTAAACTACATTCTGACTTTTATTTTAGGTTGATAGAATCATGTTTGCTTAAAATAAATATTTCTTCTAAAAAGGAAAAGTTGTCACATATGACTAGCAAAATCAAGAACTCTACTAAGTATTAATCTCTACCTGATATGAGAATAAACAGCATTGTTATAAGGATTTGGCATTCATTGAAACGTAAGTATTCGCAGATACACACCTTACAAAATCAGAAATACCCTCAGATATGGCATTAATACAATTTGATTTGTGTTTCAGACAAATAATTTCCAGTAGTACCAGATTTTTTTTGGAGAGCTACTTTATGTAAAGCTAGACAGCATCAAATACATTTACTAGTTATGAGTGAACTCTCACTTAAAACATAGTTATGAAGGATCTTAAATGTATTTGACTTTGACTTGATCTTATATATTGAAGAAATCTGGAACTTCTGTATTACCCTAAGTTCCAAGTTAAAACACACACTTTGGTCATGTAGCACAAATATGTATAACTATATGGAAAAAAATCCCAACTTTTATAAACTTAAATCCAATAATTAAAAAAATTTTTTACAATAGGATGCTTTTTGTCTTATTTGTAATAACCAAAAGCTGGGAACCCACATGTCCATTAATAGGATAATGGGTAAATAAATAAAGGTCTATGTATATAATGAAATACTATACAGCAATTACTGATACAAACAACATGGACCAATCTCAGACATAACACTAAGAGAAAAAAAGACACAAAAGAGACAGCATGGGTCAAAACATGGTTATTCTTGTGTAGAAACTGGATAGGAAGGGGTGCATAAGGGTATCTTCTAAAGCACTGGAATTGTTCTCTGTTTTGATCTGGGTATTTGTTACATATACATATGTAAAAATTAACTGAACTGCTTTAAGTTTCATGCACTTTATTGTTCATAAGTTACACCTCAATTTAAGAAAATGCTTAAAAAATATGAAGATGAAGTGTGTTCAATGCATGGGCCTTTGAAACTTTGAGTTCCAGCATTGGGTTCCAGTCCTCGCTTACTACTTAGCTATATAACCTAGAGTAAGTCACTTGTCATCGCTTAACTTCGATTTCCTTATCTATAAAGAGGGCTAATAAATCCTTGCTTTTTCTAAATGAAATTTAAGGGAAATAACTGTTGTGGACTGAGCTATAGGGTGTATTAGGACTAGCAAACCAGACCAAACCAGAATGGAGTCACTTATTCTAGGTGCCACGTACTTCATAAACTGTACTTTGAAACCAGTTTCCCCCTAAAACCAGGAGATTTACAGCAACCAATCAGAAGGGACCCAGTTCACCTGAGCAGGCATGACAGGGAAGTCCCCTGTTTTAACCCTATAGGTAACTTTAAAATGACCAATCTGCCCTTTGTTCTGTTTCTGCTTTCTTCAACCATTTCCTGCCTACAAAGCCAACCTCTTCTGCTCAGTTCATCAGAGTGCCTTTCCTAATACTTAAATGAGAGGCATCCCATTTATGGATTGCTAATGAAAGTCAATTAGATCTTTAAAGTAAATCTGATAAAAATCTGTTTTTAACAGTTTGTGGTAAAGAATAAATGATATCAGGCACACAACTAACACAATGCTTAGTATATGATAAACTTTTTTTTTTTTTTTTTTTTTTTTTTGAGACGGAGTCTCGCTCTGTTACCTAGGCTGGAGTGCAGTGTCACGATCTTGGCTCACTGCAAGCTCCACTCCCTGGGTTCATGACATTCTCCTGCCTCAGCCTCCTGAGTAGTTGGGACTACAGGCACTAGCCACCAGGCCCGGCTAATTTTTTGTATTTTTAGTAGAGATGGGGTTTCACCATGTTAGCCAGGATGGTCTTGATCTCCTGACCTCGTGATCTGCCCGCCTTGGCCTCCCAAAGTGCTGGGATTACAGGCTTGAGCCACCGTGTCAGCCTATGATAAACATTTAATAAATGGCAGCTATTATTATTAACATCTTTGACTTATCAGAAAGATATCTAATCCAGAAGCAGTTTCTTTTCTGAAAAAAAGAGTAGTACCAAGGAAGCCTCGGCGGACAAGCAGGAGCCCTACACCGAGCCTCTGGACAAAATGGTCTAGGTGACCACTCAGGGTTCGGGAAGGGGGCCTGTACCCCATTAAGGGGCTACAGTACTTCAGACAGGTTTCATCCCAGCTGGGTTGCCAGAATTGTTACTGAGCAAAAGGGGCTCTCTCCTCATTGAGCTAGAAGCTGTAAACCAAAAAGTATCTGAGACAAGAGACAAGTCTCAATTTAGAAAGTTTATTTTGCAAGGTTAAGGATGCACCCGTGCCAGCCTCAGGAGGTCCTGAGGACACATGCCCAAGGTAGTTGGGCTCCAGCTTGCTTTTATACATTTTAGGGAGACATAATACATCAATCAATACATGTTAAGGTTTACACTGGCTTAGTCTAGAAGAGCGAGACAACTCGAAGGCGTGGGTGGGGTAGGGGTAGGGGTCAGGGTGGGTGGTGTTTCCAGGTCATAGGTAGATTTAAACAATTTCTGATTGAAAATTAGTTCAGACAGTTACGCATAGAAAGGAATGTCTGGGTGAAGACAAGGGGTTGTGGAGACCTAGGTTTTATCATGCAGATGAAGCCTCCAAGTATCAGGCTTTAGAGAGAATAGATTGTAAATGTTTATCAGATTTAAGGTTTGTGTTGATGAAAATGCTGGAGGGGTATAATGAGGCATATCTTACCCCAACTCCCCCATTTCTTATCATGGCCTGAACCAGTCTCTCATGTTAAATTTTAGGGTACCCTGGCCAAGGAGGGAGTCTATTCAGATGATTGTGGGAGGTAGGTGGGTGGGTGGAACACACTTTGAATTTTATTTTTGGTTTACATTTTCCCACTTCTGGCCAAGATTTGCCAGAGGCAACATCAATGGCCACCAAATTTTAATTCTGTCCCATAGTGTTGCTGGTGTGGCATAGCTGCCTGCCCTGGGCCCATTCTGTCCCTCAGTGGGACTCCCTATGGCCAAGGATGTTAGAGTCAACAAGACTTACAGCCAATTAACTGTTCTAGGTCAGACAGGGTAGACATGGCCAGGCATTCATTACCCCTTAAAATTACTTTTTTTAAGTAGAAAGTCAACAATCAAAAAAACCAAAGGTGAAGTTACAAAACTGATTTATTTTTAACTTGTATGTATTGAGCCACTGTAGTCTCGGTTTTAGTTACAGACTTACAGCAATTAGCTAAACAAAACATAAGCACTGTTTTGAAAAAAGTTTTTTAAAGACTTTTGGAACTATCTGCACTCTTCATAATGAGGGTATTAACCCAGCAGGCTTTGTCACAAGTTATCTTTATCCTATCAGTCATTGAACTCTTTTGGGTACCATTATTTTCACTAGCATAGGGGTAGCTTCAGTAATTGTTTTAATTCTACAGGAAGCAGGAAATTCTTTATGGCTGAAGTGGATGGAAAGGTGCCACACAACAGCTCAGGAGGTAAAGTCCCTTGTTTTACCAGCTGTTTAGGCATCTTTGTACCCATCCTTGATTTGGAGGGTCTGACCTTGACCTAATTCTATCCCTCAAAACCAGCCCTTACAATCTCACATGCCCACTTCTCCTGTGATAGTCCTTGGGCCTAGAGGGAGGGTGCTTGCATAGTTTCGAGACAGCCAAGTAAAAAGGGGTCCCCGGGGAATATCCAACTGGCCTGCACACTGGGAGGATGGCGTGGAGCCTCAGGAAATTTGTGCCATTTGCAGGGGGGAGGAGCCTGGCCTCTCTTGTTCCTGTGTGGTAACCTGGAATTCAATCTGTGAGGTGGGAAAACTGCTATCGGGACTCTCTTTCGCTTTGCTGAGGGTTCCTGTTTGCCTTTTTTTGCTTTCACCCAACAAACCCTGCCCTACTCACCCTACAATGTGTATGAAACCCCTGGGTCTCCTTTGAAAAAATGTCTTCTTTTTTCTTTTTCCTCCTCTATCCTCTCTTCACAGATAGAAACAGTATGCTTCCATAAGATGCACCCTCCAAACTGGGAAGAGTTAATTTCTCAAATCTTAAACTTGTTAGCTTAGCACTGGGCTTAGGGGAAGGGAACCCAGAAGCCTGACATGCTGACAAAAGGGTAAGTTTTTTTTAGCCAGTCAGGCTTTGGGCCCCTCTCTCCCTGTGCAAACTGGTAAAAGGCCTCAGGATTTTTGAGAGGTCCTTACCCTTCGCCACTTATTTTGTTTTGATATATGTTTTCTAATATCCCGATTTGTGTCTTCTTGCCTTCAGACCATGACACTCCAAGTGGTTATGAACTGGAGCCTTGGAAGATGGCCCCTTTTGCTAGGGACCCTTAGATAGGTCTCTGAAGGAGATCTGACTGCCATTTTTCCCAAACAGCACCTCCTGTCAGCAGGAAGCAGTTAAGATTGGTCTTCATCCTTATTCTTATCCTTCTTCTAATGGCAGTTAGAAGTATTTCTTTTAGAGGGGTGAATGAGACTAAGTAAAAAGGGGTCCCTGGAGAATCTCTGACTGGCCTGCACACCAGGAGGACAGGATGGAGCCTCATCAAGTTGATGCCGTTTGCAGCGGGGAGAAGCCTGGCCTCTCCTGTTCCTGTGTGGTAACCTAGGTTTCAATCTGTGAGTTAGGAAACCTGCTAGCTGGACGCTCTCAATTTGCTGAGGGTTCCTGTTTCCCGTTTTTTTCCTTTTCACTCAATAAACTCTGCCCTACTCACCCTACAATATATCCGCATGCCTAAATTATCTGGGTTGTGTGACAAAAACGAGTTTGTTTTTTTCCCCCCAAAACAGTTTTAGCAGCAGGGCATTTGCGGTGAAAAACAAATCAGGCCCTGTGGGATGCCAAAGGAGGGAGATTGGTTTCGTTTCCTTGAAAGTACAACAAAGAGAAATAAATAACATTAATATTTTGACAATAAAAAGATTATTTGTGTGTCAGAACAGAAAAATAAATCTATTCCATTAGGACACCAACTAAAGATATGAAAAAATTATAATCTTATAATCTGGTACTCTCTAGAGATTACTGTAGCCAAGATACAATTCATGATTCAATCTGCACTCAAAAAAACAAACGTTAGGGGTGAAATCTAGTATAAAGCGTTACATTTTTCCTTTGAAACAATTTCTCTCTAGCCCTCTTTTTCTATTCAAGAGAAATTATAGTAAGACCAATTTGTGTGCAAAATAAGTTCTAAGCTTATTATACTTTGCCTGATGATTTACATAAAGTGCAGCAAGAATTCATTGACTATATAGGCTCTTCTTAAGTTGGCTTTGCTGGAACTTTACCTAAAAATACGCTATTCTAGTGAAAGTCTTGGTAAAGTAACCAGTGTCTCCAACTGTTTTGTTCTAAAAGACTCTTACTAAACTTATGCAAACAACTATACTGTCATAAAATCACAATCTGAATTTTGGAGAACTCAGAAAAATGTAAATTTGCTTACAAAAATATACTTTACCCAAATGTTCTAAACTAGAAATAAAGAAAAAATAAATTTTTTGACCCTTCTTTAGCCAGAGCAGCAGCCTTCCAAACAAGATGTTTGTTCACCTTTGAATTGCCATTCACAAGCCAAACAGCTCATGAGAACCATCAGGCACTGTAGAATCTATCAGCCCCTCATACAGCTAGAAACAGTCCTAGGGAAAAAAGTAGCTCCCTGCTCATGAATACGTCCTCCTTGTACATCCAGGTAGCAAGATCTACGTAAACCACTTTTATTTTACCATGGAACTCTTTTGGGCACCATTATTTCCATTAGCATAGGGGTGGCTTCAGTTAACATTCCACAGCAAGACAGTACATGCCCCTCAAGTGGAAATTCTCTAGTCCAGTAGTTATTACTGGGAAGTACTCACAGTCTTTTGCCATAAGCCCCAATAAATGCTCCACAAAAGGCTATGAAGTGGAGGATTTGTCCCAACTAGCACTCTGGTTTCTACCCCATATTCTGTGGGCTCAGGCAATCTTACTAGTTCCCATTTAGTGCGTCCAATTAACATTTCTCAAAGAGCAGATTTACACGCCTTCAGTTGTATAGCACTAGATAGGGGAAATATCCCCCAGTTAGATATAATATCCATTTTCTTTTCTGTGTGTGTGTTTTTTTCCACCCCCTGAAGACGGAGTCTCACTCAGCCGCCTAGACTAGAGTGCAGTGGCATGATCTCAGCTCACTGTTACCACTGTCTCCTGAGTTCAAGCAATTCTCCTCTCTCAGCCTCCCGAGTAGCTGGGATTACAGGCATCTGCCATCACGCCCTACTAATTATTGCATTTTAGTAGAGACGGGGTTTTGACATGTTGGCCAGGCGGGTGTTGAACTCCTGACCTCAGGTGATCCATCTGCCTTGGCCTCCCAAAGTGCTAGGATTACAGGCGTAAGCCACCACACCTGGCGATATAATACCAATTTTCATAAGACAGGTAAAGGAGTCACAACTACCTTACATAAAGTCTGTTTAAATATCTCAAATGTCATAATTTGACAGGTGTGGTGGCTCAATGCTGTAATCCCAGCACTTTGGGAGGCCGAGATGGGTGGATCACTTGAGGTTAGGAGTTTGAGACCAGCCTGGCCAACATGGTGAAACCCTATCTCTAATAAAACTACAAAAAAAAAAAAAAAAACAACGCCAGGTGTGGTGGCACGCCCATGTAGTCCCAGCTACTCGGGAGGCTGAGGCAAGAGAATCGTTTGAACCTAGGAGGCGGAGGCTGCAGTGAGCCAAGATTGTATCACTGCATTCCAGCCTGGGTGATGGAGTGAGATTCCGTTTCAAAAAAAGAAAAAAAGAAATTTATAATTCTATTAACACGTACATTTTTAATGTTTTGGTTCCAGGAACTTTTCTACCCCCAGACCATTTTACCTTACCTGGTAAAAAAAAAAAAAAAAAAAAAAAAAAAAACCGGTTTGGGTTCCCAGCAGGGAGTCGAGCCAAGGGACTAAGACTCTTTTGTTCATTTTTATCAATTTTCATCTTAATTGGCCTCAGCATTGCCCCAGGCAATGTCAGCTTTCTCATAACCTTTGCCTTCTGATTTTTTTTTTTCCCCTTAATCTTCCAATCTGGGGCAAATGGTGAATAACCATCCCAAAATTTCTATCATCCTTCTG